ATTGAGCGAAAGATAATTGCTTCAGTTTTTTTTTTCTAAAAAAAAATTACTCATGTTTCTCGATAATATGTGCCATTTAGTAATAAGACTCTGAACCACAATATTCGATTACTTTTGAACATGATTATCATAGTGAGTTGATAATCGATTATGAACTTGTGAAAGTCATCTTAACAATAAAGAATTTATTAGATCAGATTATGTGAACGAAGAGATGGATATTAGAAATAGTAGTAAAAGGGGTAGGGGTAGGGATAGAGTTAGGGGTAGGGTAGGGCAAGGGTAGGGTAGAGGTAAAGGAAGTATAAAGGGTAAAGAAAAAGAAGCAACCAGTAGTGTATATGTTGGTAGCATTGATAGTGATATAGCATTAGAATTACAATTACCTACATTTAATTCAACACAAAATTTACGACCACTTTACAAAGGATATCCAACGATTCCCTATGAATATCAACTAGGAATTGTTACTCCACTTGCACTTTTCTAATTGTTTTTTACTAATGATCAATTACAAAAAATAGTCGAAAATACCAATACATACGAAATGGTAAAAGGTAGAGAGGGTGGTCGTGACTAGAAGCTGTTGACTCTAAATAAACTGAAAATTTAGTTTGGTTTAATTATCTACATGGGTGTTTATCAAATTGGTACTGTGAAAGATTTATGGAATCGAGATGAAAAAAAAGCAATATATAAGATTAGAAGATTTATGAATATGGTTAGGTTTCAACAAATAAAATGATTTTTTTATATTTCATTCCCAGATGAATTGCATCCTTTTTGGTATTCTAAAGTAGAACCATTGGCATCGCATATTCAGGAGGCAGTTAAGAAGTATTATATTCCTGGTTCAAACGTTTCTGTTGATGAGATGATTGTGCGTTTTTCTGGACAAAGTGCTTATATGGTGAGGATGAAAAATAAACCAACTCCAGAAGATTACAAAATTATTTCACTTTGCAATCATGGATATACTTGGGCATTTTTGTTTATATCACATGTTGAAAAAAAATACAACAGTAGAATGTATTCTAGGCTTTAATAATACTGGGTGTATAGTTGCGTATTTGGTTTGTAAGCTTCCTTGCAATAAAACATACCATGTTAATATGGACAATTACTTCTCTAGCATATCGCTTAAATATTTATGTGAGAATGATATTGGTGCCTGTGGCACAGTTTGTACAAATTCAGCTGGATTTCCTAAAGAATTAAAAATTAATAAAACTTTAGATTGGAACACGCTTTTAGGTAAAGTAGTAGATGATGTTTTAGCTATTCTTTGGATTGATAATGGTCTGGTAACCATGCTATCTACAATTCATAAAATTTCTGGTGATGATTCAAAAGTTATTCGTAATCGGCAATGATAGTGTTGTAAATGTAACGTGCTATTATGTTTCTCTAAAACAAGACTGAATTGTTTTAAGGACTTTCATTTTAAAAATTAAAAAGCATAGGGTCTGCAATTTTTTTTTTTTTATTGCATAAACTTTTTTTTTATTATGTAGTGATTTTCTTGATTATATAATTTTATGTTGTGAATCACTTTCAACTTTAGTATTTGCTTCTCAAATCGTAATTCTCAACACTTTTTACACCTCAACTGAATATGATGTCATTTCGAATTTATTTTACTTACTGTTACATAGTATGCATTAAAGGCAAAATAGGAATAAATAAGGTAGAAATAAATAAATGAATAAAGCAAAAAAAATAAATAAACAAAAAATAAATAAGGCAAAAAAAAATAAATAAAATAAAATAAATAGGGTAAAAAAAGAGACAGACAAATTAATAAAATTCTGAATTTTTATGCTGTTTGAATAATAAACTGATAAATACAATGAATTTCAAGATTTAATAACATTATTAGGTTCTTATTTTAGTTTTAGCACTGGTCCAACTATATCCAATATCGACATGTCAAATTTGAAATATACGTATATATGTATGTATATTTATGATAAATGAACACTTGTTTTGCAAGCTATTATGTGTGTCCGTGACTTGCGCAGAACATAAGCTATGACATAAATAATGATTTTTGGGCAAGTATACAAGGTTTGGGCAATGTTGTGTGACAGTACAAATAACAAAAATTTTTCAGGCAAATTTGCCTAGAAATGATCTACAGATTAAGGGATAATAAATTTTTTTAGCTATATTCTTAGATACATAAAATAAAAATTTGTACTAATAAAAATATTGTCTGTTTTGTATAAAAATTTTATAGTAGGTGTATTTTTTTTTTTTTTTTTTTTTTGGTTTTAGAGGGTCCTCTTTTGTCGGGGGAACTTTTTTTTTGTGTTTAGACGGAGTTTTTTTTGTTATTT